AATTTTTAAACTATTCATTCAAATTTTTAGCAAGAGCCCAGTAACCCCATCCACCGTGAGAGGCTCCTCCCTTTTTGTGAAGAGCTCCGCCCACTTTTGTAAAATGCCTTAGTACGACGTTATATTTCTCGCTCGTCGCTAGAGATAAACTATACAAGTTTACGGCGCCAAAATAACGCCTATGGGCATCGATTGTGGCCGGCGTTAAAAATAAATGCTATGTCAGTAAGAACGAAGCCAGATACAAGTTTATTCCGCATTTGGTAGAAAAAAGATGTTAGCTCCAAGTTGGGGCCTGTTAGGGCTGAATTGGCACCTAGTGGCTCTATTAGGCGGCAGCTTTGAATAGAAATAATACATTCGATAAAAAGACATCAAATACCCCAGACATTACGCGGATCACTTGATCGCGGGACTGTCGTTAAAGCTTAGGCAAGAAACCCTTATCATAATTACGGTAACTCCAATTGAGCGCAAGAATTCCCTCGAATGCCTCCCTCCTCTACAAAGTTACTAGCACCAACAAGCTTATTGAGAACAATCCAAACTTTCAAACTAAATAAAATTCAGTCATCTAGATTAAGAGCATTATTAGAACCCTCTCACATCTGTCGAAGAAGGTGGAGGCGGTGGAAGTACAGTTGGTCCACCATTGAATCCTGTGGCACCAGCTTGCTTGAAATCGATAAGCATTTTCTCTGCTTGAGCAACTTCATCGTCTCGCATCACATCGGGGTCTGGCACAAACGGCACACCAGCGCTTGCCGCTATCTCTATCATGTACCTGAAAATTGGAGAAGCTATATCTTCAAGCAGGTGGATAGTTTGAGCCGTCCAAGATTTTTATAATTTATTGGCCAACGTTTCGGCTTCCTCGCCTTCGTCAGGGCCTGAAGGAGTCCAAAAACAATTGAGATTGGGAGAAGCTAGTATGTTTCACGTTTATACCGTATTAGTATGAATGAGGAGTAAGGCGGTGTGGTGGTGCACAATCTAGGGAGTCACTGGAGGAAAGCTGGGGGAGGGGTGGGGAAGAAGCGACTCGCACGTGTGTTGACGAAAGCTTTGTTGCTTTCTCGTTTCTTATCCCCCACATACTCCGTTTTTCTATAAGTAAGTTCAAATCTTATAATAGGACGGTTTATCGCACCGATGAATAAGATAAATCAATAAGGAAAGGGGGTAGTACCTCACAGAGGAAAGCGGGCGAGGGGAGGAGGGGCGAATAAGCGAAGAGAACCGGCATATAAAGCGTTTTCTGCACACTCTTCGTAATTTCTGTTTCCGATCTTCCAAAGTTTGCACCGTGGGCAGATATGCTTAGACTTCTGAGCCCAGGGTCAGATCGACTTCCTGAAACCCTATATGCAGGGCTTTCACTCCGCCCAAGTGGTCTGGCAAGCCGCCCACAGCAGCGGAGCCCATAACACTTTTGGACACTCAACCGAATCCATTAACTCTTCCAGAGCATTTGACCCCCCCCCCCCCCCGAGGCATTGTCACCAACTGCGACCCTGACGAAATGGCGTTGGGAGAAAGCACTTGGCGGCGAAAAGCATTATGCGTACCGAGCCGGCGGAAAAGATCGCCAGGGAGGTCAACCTAGCGCTTCGTGAAGCTAAAACGCGTGCGGTTCGGCCGAAAGCGTCGACACGTTATCAGAACTGTTTGCCCAAAACCGCCAGACTCTTCAGCCCACCCAAGAGTCGATATGTATCAAAAGCTTTTCGCAGCCGCTCGTTCCAGAGCATGAAACGTGGGTCCGCAGATGGAACAATGCATTGAGCACGAATATTGCACTAGTCGTGATAAAAGCGCTGTTATATGCTAACGGCGGGGCACAAAGCCACCAGTGGCACTGGCGCCTGTGTATGGGATTGCCGGCACCACTTATTGAAGGTGGTTCTATGCGTGTTTCAAGTACTCGTACACAGAGTCTTAGCAATTCTTCAAAATTTCGGTCAATATCTGACCTGAAATTCGAATAATGCAGTAATGTAAATCGTTTAGTTTAAGATACCCCGATGCAGTGTTTGACGGCGAAGCAACAATTTAAAGGGATATCTCAGCTTGAATGACACCACGTGCACTCAATGAAAACGCTTCAACGCATGCAAAGAAGAAAGGTTCAGACTTGCCTCTCCACCAAGTTTCGGTGCAGCCGGCAGAGGCATTGGCTATAACTTCGGCGAAACTTTGGCTGGAAATTCCAACTGGTTTGCTCGAGCAGCTTCAGCAAATGGTTTTCCGTACTTTATAGTGAGTTGGTCGCTTATAGCCTGTAAGACTACTTACATGATTAACCACGATTTTGAATCTCACCAATCCCACTTTGAATTCCGCAATGTCCGTAGCTATCCGTGGGGCAGCCCACATTATGCTGATCACGGCTTCTGCAATGCCATCATCCAAGGTCCTAAGGAGCATGGTTATAAAGCTATTTTTCAGATACAACCTCGACTAGGTGAATAACAAAAACTCACTTCATCTGCTCTATCAAACCGAATCTCGCCAGAAGTAGATCGCAATACATCTCCAGAATTTCGAAAGCTTCTACGAGATAATCTTCTCGAATGATGTGCTCAACGCGGATTCGTGCTCGATCAGCTTTGTTTGCTATAATGATAATATGTGAGCACGCAAATATCGAAGCACTTGTGCCTTGAGAAAATGAAGTGAACGGCGGCGTTTAGCTTGGGAGGGGCAGTTTGCAATTTTTCTGGGACTTTTTGCTAGTTCCTGTTGGGACACGTCTCATCTTGGTGAGACTTAGACTTTTATCAGGTGTAAACGAAGCTTATGCTATTACATAGCATTACAGATGTTTACAGGTCTCCACAGGGGGATGTCTGCAGCGATCGATAGGAACCAGAGAAAGGTCCCCACCAAGCCGAACAGTGCCGAAATAAACCCAAAAATTCTCGGTCGCAGCACCGTTTACCCTTCACAATCCCAATATTTGACATGGGGCACATCATCAATGTGTAAGACACAACGAGACTGGCCACATTTGTCCGCTGCGGGAGGGGTCTTCTTTGGCCTCGACAAAAACTATTTCAACGTTGATTTTCCGTTTCACACGCGCTACATATATCCCTGTTACTGGTGGAGCGCACGGCGGCAAAATGTCGTGACAGTTTGGTAAGATGGAATGCAGCCAATGAAATGGAGCTGTGGAGGAGGGTCAATCAAA